TAATACTTTAAATATAGAGTAAGATAGAAATTAATTTTATCAATCCTAAATTGTTCTATTTTATTTGGCTTGGAAATTAAATTTTTATATTATTTATATTTAGACGTAATAACGGGAAAATTTAATATAAAACCAGTTAATTTCAAAAATAAAATGTTTATCTTCGAAAATGAAAACTATTTTAGAATTCAGCTTACACATTTGTCATGAATCCACCATCCTCAGTCAACAAAATGCTATAGTATTTAATTTATAAAACTTCTCCTCTGAAAAAACACTTCATAGTCAACAAAAATATCACAAGTGACAAACAAATTAATTACACAGGGATATAACCAACTGCTTATATTCTATACAATAATTGCAAAGTACGTATGTATATTATTTAAATGTTGACGAAGTCACTGAAATAATATTTTTGGAGTCCAACATAATTTGAATATCATACTCGAGTTCATTACATGATTTTCAGTATAGCATAGTATCTTCTAATTTAAATTGTATGTGTATATATGCATTTTTGTAAATAAATGAGTTTAATTTTAAATTTTATGTTAAGAATTTTACGAAAATAATATGCAGGATTTGCATGATTTTGAATATGTTTGCAATATTTTTAAATTATTATTTTTTTAGATATAAATATTTTAATTCTGCAGCAATTAAAATATAAAATTCATAAATCAACTGAAGGTGAATTTATTTTATCCTTACCTTATGTATTAATTATAGTTAATATATGCTTGTATTATACACATATAAATGTAAAATAATGTTTATTCTTTTTTTTTATAAAATATAAATTAGAGTTAATTGTATAAATAAATAAAGTTTATCGTTTAATGTGTTTATATATGAATAATTTAATATATTAACGTATATTGAGTCACAATTTTCAAGAGTGTTAAAGAAAGATAGAAAGATATCACAAAAAAGGATAACATTTGAGTCAAATTAATATATAAACATTATATAGCTTACCACTTCAAATAAAGCATCGTGTTTAGTCTTGATTTTAGTCTATGATTTATCTAAATATTTTTTTTAAAGATTTTTCGTTAAAAAAAAAAAAAAAAAAAAAAGCTTTCAACGGGTATTTAGTAATAAAAGATTAACCAAACATAAAATTATAATACAATATACATAAATAGAATATAATCGATCAGATTATATGGTTTATAAATAATCCATTAAAAATATGCTTCTGAGTAGACATCAGCTTATGAAAGTGTTTATTGTACATTTTAAACGCCACAAAACGTTCGAATAATGATTTATAATATTTTATAAGCTCCCAGCTTGAATGCCATTTGATAAGTAATATTGCATTAAGCTTTCTGATCTGACAATTGATATAAACCAAAATCATAATTTATTTTTAAAATGTATATAACTCTATATTGAGTCTCATATTAATATTTAGAGTTTTTAAAGAACATTTTATCACAAAAATATTGAAATAAATATTCAAAAAAGTTTGAATTTAATTTTTTTTTTAAAAATCAACTAATTAAAATTTTTATAGTATGTTACATAAACATTCAATTAATGGCATCTATGTTATATAATTGATTAACATTGTATACATTGAATAATAGTATTTAACATAATTTCATTACTTTTTATGTTTAAAGTTTAAAGTGAATTATATAAAATATTGATTAGAATTATTTTGATGTCATAAGTATTGTATTTAGTATATACATTAATTTTAAAAATAGTTCGATTGTCGTTTCAAACTTGTACATTGTATATGCCTAATAATTTACGCATAATTCTGAAGCTCTTTCGAAGAAATGGTACACGCAGTGTTCCAATAACATTTGTTAGGATTAACATTTGTTATATTCCTGGATAAAATATTGTTAATTGATAATGAGAAAAAAGATTTTATTTCAAAAATACCAACATGGTTTTATAGTTTTCCATTCATTTTGTGTATAATATAGGTAATCCCAAAGTCCAAATAATAATTTGACAGTTAAAAATAAATCACTGAATTAACTTCAATATCAATATTCCAGTAAACAAAGTACACATTATTATTAATAATAATACCAAAAGCGAATTTTAATCATAAATATACTAAATGGTCAAAATTATCTTTGTACCAAATTTGTCTCCATTAACTATTTGATACACGTAGTTAAAATTAATGTTGATTTAACCACTAACGTTCTTTATATTTACTCTGGTAAAAAAAAATATAGAGTAGTTAATAAAATATATGCTATTATATTTATAATATAGAATACCTTTAATTTAATATCTTCCTTAATTTTAATCACTTAATTTTATAACGATAATGTTTATTTTTCTCACACCATTATTTTTTATGAGAATGTATGATGTTTGAATTTGTATTTTTATATCTTTTTGTACCTATTAAAAAAAAAAAAAAAAACAAATTATTATATATGATGAATAAACAATCTATAATTTCATACAAAATATGAATTTGGGGGAGTGCCTATAAATCTCATTTCCATTTATTTAATATTACAATTAACAGTTTATTAAGGATAATTTTAAGAAAATCATAACTTTATTCAGTAAGATTGTTCTACTTTGTTTTTGATTTTGGCAATTTTAATTCTACTTATATTAAAAATATGTTTTATTATGTGTAAAAATTTTGATAGTAAAAAGTTTAATCATTCATATAGTAATAGGAGCAAAAATAAATGAAATATTAGATCTGTATAATATAATTTAATACTTGGTCCACATGATCCAATTGAATTATATAAATATTTCGAACTAGATTTAATTGAATTTAAATAATTTAAACGCTTTAAAACATATTAAAATTAAATTTCCTGGTATCATTTTTCTGTGCTGTGTAATTAAAACATTAATTATATATTATAAAACTAAAATTTATTAATATTATCTACTATTATTATGTTAATTAGTAATTTTTTTTTTTTTTAGATATTTTAGTAATTTATATTGATTTTAAATAGTTAAAACTCCTATTCAGATCACAGCTTAAGGCTTTAGTAAGTAAATCAATCATTATGCATATACTCGTATGTATTAGAGTGGTCCTTATTTATATAGGTTGAATATTTTATTTTGAAAATTTAACATATATTCAATATATGCACCTCCTCAAATTGTTTAGTTGTACATGTAAATAAATTAGGTACAATTTGGAAGGTTTCACTTAACCCTTTCTAGTGCTGCATTAGGGTTGAATATGGAAAAAGAGGCAAATAGAGGTCAGTTTATAATACCTATATTATTGTAAAAATTACACGAAGTTCTAGTAAATAATACCAAAACTTATTTTAAAGCTAATCTTGTGACATTTTGATCCTTTAACTTATTTTTAGATAATTTAATTTTGTAAAATTTTTATAATGAATATTTTATCATAAATCCAACAGTATATTGTATATATTAAAAAAACTGAAAAAAATCCAATTTTGAATATTATATACAATATTTTAATACTTAATAATTTTTTTAAAAAGCAATGAAATTACGAGAATTTACGTACAATGCTTTTAGAAAATATTAAAATATATCATTAAATTCTTATTATATCCACGTTTAATTCTATACTTTCTGAATTTAAAAAAAAAAAAGAAATAACTACACTTTTTTACAAATATTTCAACCCTAATGTGGTACAAAAAGAGTTGACCTTCCAAATTTCACTTAAATTGTTTACATATATGACTTAACAAATTAAGAGGGTGCCGTATTAAAAAAATAAATTCAAAATATAAGGACCCCCCTTATATATATATATATTTAAAACAATTGTAAATCATTCTATTATTGTATATACATAATATATTATTACATTATTATTATATAATACGTATTACTTCCAAAAAATGATCCAAAATTGGTAAAAATTAAATATTTTCATTTTTACGAGATTTTACTACTATCTGACTGCCTATTAAGGGTAAATTAAAGATCTCTTTATCTGCTCTTTGAAGCATCCTAATGGAATAAATTCGCTATCAAAAAATTATGTAAGTCCGTAAACTTTGTAAAATAATAACTTCGAGAAAAATGCAACTGAGTCGACGACGATGATTGTACTGAACACTCATTCATAAAGCGAACGATCAAGGAAATAAGAAATAAATACCAAACGTTGACTGTATATGCTCGCAAGGGCAATACAGAATTAAAACATCAGCAACAATGATGTTTATAATTTCAATGAAATACGCGAATAAGCGAGCCCAGAGCGCGCGGTAACGGCGGCGGAGTTTCATTTTAGCGTAGTAATCAGCTTATCGTTCATTCACAATCCCGAAACGAGTGAAATCTATATTTCCGCCAACGGCAGCGGACGCTTAACCCAACGGGGGGAAGGGATTTCACGTTTCTGAGCGTGACGGTGGTTTCACGGGACACTGTGCATGTGAGTACTGCGAGTGAGGAGAGGGACGTTGTACGTGCGAGCACTTTTGTGTGTATGTGTGTGTGCGAGCGCACGCATGCGCGAAAGCGTGTGAATGCGTGCGTGCGTTTGTGTGTGGGGGCGTAGTGTTGTGCTTGTTGGATATGGTGGTATGAGGGGAAGCGGTGTTGTGGATAGTGTGGAGGGTTCAACAGTAGTGGAAAAGATTGTGAGAGAGAATCAACAGGGACAAGGGAGAGGAAGAATGAAAGCGAGAGGTGATGTGAATAGTTGTAGGAGCAACAGAGAAGGACGAAAGTGTTGGGAGAGAGAGAGAGAGAGAGAGAGAGAGAGAGAGAGAGAGAGAGAGAGAGGGGGAGAGAGAGAGAGAGAGAGAGTAAAATCATGATAAAGGCTCTAAAACGCGGAGGACCCCCAGCTAAAAGTGTGTGGGCTGCCGTCGCTGCCACTGTGAAAGCTCCTGGAATAGGATGCAACGCACACGCTCACACGTTTACTCTATAAACACACGTATACGCGCATGCGCGCGCACACACGCACTAGAAGGCACCTGTTGTAGATTCAGTGATCGTTGGCGCGTACGCGAGTTCCCTCAGTTTTCCGCGTTCGACTCCCGCCCACTCATCCTTACCCGCCCGCACACTCGTCCAGTCATTTAGCCCCGCTGCCACCAGTGTCCCGTGTCCGACCGCCGCCACGGTTGCGATCGTACGGCGGCGGCGGCGGCGGCTGTACGTGTCTCGCTCTTTCGGCGTAGGGACCCTAGTTCCAGTGTACCGCCGCCGTTCAGTACGCCACAGGACACCAGTACACCGGCACGTCGCTGCCACCCGCGTTCACTGGTGACGACCAAACAGCGTCCCCTCCCCGTACATATCTCTCGCTGTTCCCGGTTCCCCTCGACATCGCAGCCCAAACACACACGCGCGCCCGCGCACCAGTTTTCCCGAGTTTTTCGCTGCATTCACTCATCACTACAACCACCACCTCCACTCCCACCGCCACAACCAACCCGACCGCAACATCACCAACAACGCCACCACCAACCCTGCCGCCGATCCTTCCATTGACCCCGCCACCTCTGCCGCTGTAAACACTGACTCTGATACCATCCCGTCAAACGCACCGAGTATATACGTTCACTCGTGTCCGGAGACTCTCCGGCGGCGTGTCAACATTGAACAATCACACCGGCACCGGAGGTAAATTATTTTTATTTTATTTTTTAACTCCGTTTTCTGTCATCGTGTCCCGTTGGCAGGAAGCCTCGAAAAAATATGCACACAAAACCTAGTCATAAGTCCCGTAGTTATACGCTACAGTTCGTATATGTTATTACTACAATTTTGCAACGGTTTTTTCCACTACGGTTCGAATCCATATAAACCACCACGTGGACGAGTGTAAAGTTTCCGTTGTATACGTAACCGATAATCCCATGGATAAATCACAGCTTCCTTGAATTTAAATTATTATTAAACGATATTAATTTAATTACAAAGACAAACCATTACATAAATGTTTACTCGCATTCTAAAAATACACTTTCGATTGTTTTATCACCCTTGAAATTTGGAAAAAACAATTTATTTTGTTTGACTGTAAACAAAATAAAATATTTTTTATCTTTGCCAATGCAGTTTTATAATAATTTAAATTTAGCGCAAGATCTTTACACGGTTATTTATTGTAATCATCATCTATTGAAAACTATCGAAATTCTTCAAAAAATATAATATGCACTTCCGCTTATGATCAATGAATAGAATAACGGTTTTATTTGCAGTGTTTTTAAAACATTGAACAATGAAAATAATTGTCTTATTTGATTTTTAAAATATAAATCAATGATAATTTTAACCAAAATAATTTTTTCATTTATTAATTTTTATAGATAATGATTACGTAGTGATTTCATGTATAAACTGTTATATTTTTTTTATAGCTTCTTATTTTAAATTTTTCAAATTAATCATTTTCGTTCTATACAACTCGGTGACTATATTTACTTCTATATAGTGGCACGTAATCTCATCATATGTTTCGTCTGCACAAATTGTTATTGTAGACATTGAAACTTATCCTAAGTCTTAGGTAGACTTTATGGTTTTTCATCAACATATATTGACATATATATTACATATATTTACATATATAAGTATATTGACGAAAATATTTAAACAATTTTTTTTCCCATATTCTTTGACCACCCATTATGTTCAATTATAAATAAGCCTTTTATAAATTCGGAGCTATTAATGATTAGAAAAATAGACAGAAAACAGGAAAAATATACAAAAACTTGAACTAAAAAGTATTCTTTTGTTACATGAATTATTTGATTATGTATAAAAAAAATAATACATCAATTAGCTATCGTTATAAAAAAAGGCACCTAACATTACATTTTTTTTTCGTGAAATAATATTATTAAATAAAAATATATTTTTTGTTCAATGTTATTAGTACGTATATTCTGATGATAAAAGGATATTTTCCTGGGTGATATATTTTTATTAATTTAGAAGGCTTACTTTTTGAGCTATAATATATAATATTTTTGACATAAGTATAATAATCATATATGTTAAGAACTCATAGAAAGATATAACTTAAGTCAAATTTTAAATTTATAATTTAATTGGTTTCTTTATATAGACGATAAGATATAATTCCATAATTTAATATAAAGTAAAATAAAAAATAAAATAATACCTCATTTATATTATTGCAATGTAATACAAGTGCATGAATTTAAAGACGTTTTTATAAATTCCTCATCAAATATATATAAAATTATTTTTATTTTTCTGTTAAATTATTTAAAAATACCTGATTACAATTAAATAATACATACATATTTCATGTCTATAAATTACTTTCAGACACTCAAATAATGATTTAGTAGTTTACATGTTTATATTTTTTGTATTAAGTATACATATTTATTGTATGTACACTTTAAGTTATACATTTAGAGTTTATACTACAAACACTTTATATTCTCTGAAAAATTGTGTTGTAATTTTTGTAAAAAATGTATTAAAATTTAAATTCCATTGCTTCAGTGTTTGAATTGTTGGTAAAATGAAAATAGATTATTATTATTATTATTATTATTAAGCTTAAAAATATTAGAAATATTTAAATAGTAAAGAGTCTTAATTTGTTTGCAAGAAAATGTCTTTTTAAAAGTTCGGGGTAAAAAGTTGTCAAACACCTACTTCAATTTATGACAGAATATTAATTAATTTTAAATATTCATAAATAGTTTCACAGATTTTAATATTACTCAGACTTTAGAAAAATAATCCGAACTATTGTCACAAATGAAAAATAACTTGTACCCAATCTTTTTTCACTGTAGTTACATTCATTTTCTTAGAAGTTTTTAAAATTGTATTACCTCATATTTCTCGTTCCGAAAACACAATTTTTTCGAGAAATCTTCATATATTTGGATAAAGAGAATATTTATTTGTTACTGTTAATTTCGAGATAACATATAGTAATTTATTTAAAATAAAAAAAATAAAAATAAAAAAAATTGAGATTAGTAAAATATATTATCTAACAACCTTGAAGTTGAAAAATGACCCCTTTATTTTTTTTTTTTAATATTCTATATTAAATAAATATTTAATAACATAATAAACATATATCATGTAATTTATTTTAAATAAATATTGCCATAAGTCTGTATAAAATAAATCACTTAATTGTTTGCTATATTAAATTAACCATTTAAGTTTATAATATAAATTACGAATATATAATATCTAGGAACAGTTATCGAGGTAATCAAAGTCTGTGACAAAAATATTATAGAAAAGTATTGAATGTATCAATATAATATGTCATGTATGTTTTTTAAATTACAAACAACGTTTGATACATCTCCTTCAATATGCTCATACCAGCATTTAGTTGCTTTTGGACGATCCTCGTAGACCATTAAAAATATTCAATGTCAATATATTTGAATTTATCTCTTAAATTTGCTCCCGTTTAGTATACTCGTATTATATGAGTATATAAAAAATAATAATAACAAAGATTCAAATGTTGAAGAAAAAATAGTTGCCAGACTACATTTCAGTGGTTTTCAGCTTAATTTCTCGGCACTCTTCCAAAATAAGTGTAAGTATTATCCTACTGAATTATTACGATAAATGAATGGGTCACAAACCAGCATTGTTCCTTTATTTTCTATAAGGTTTCTCTGTATAGACTTTGTACTAGTTACTCAATAAGTTTTTGAAAATAATTTATTAAAATATAATTTAAACATGATAAGTCGTTCAATCGTATTTTGAGGGGTGAAACAGGCAAGCTTATTGTATGCTTACCTACAATATTAGATCGAATATTACATTCAATACGTAAAATGTAAAATGGTGTAGCCATTATAATGTAACAACAGATGTGGCAGCCCAGTTATTGTATGAAATAATGATGACAGATATACTGAATACTCAGACAATAAGGACTCACCATTGAAGAAATGAAAATGCTGTTTAAAAATATCAAAATGTCTCAAATTGTAATTGATGAAACTATATAACATACATTTTCTCTATTTATGATTTGTATTTCTCAAATAATAATTCATGAATTTTCCGAGGACGGGATACACACAAAACAATTGTTTCTCGGTGTTTACAAAACGCTATTACATGAAGTCCCACAAATTTATTCCACATGACAACAAATTAATTTTGGAATAACCTTTACCAAATTTATTATGAAATTTTCATTATCATCTCTATGAATTGTTCTTGAACGCCCACTAAGTACTTGGTGATGATAATTGAATGTGATCCTCCGAATAAAATAGTTTTCATCGGAATATATTATTGTATTATACAATAAAATAGATACCTACCTAATTAAACGAAACGTAGAAAAATGTTACCGGATTCAAAATCGTATATCCATGATATAAAAAAAATTATTTATAAAACTTTTAGAGCTTTCTTTTTATCAAAAAATATGAAAAGAATTTAATTTTAATAGAAATATTTTATACTTTATACATATCTGGGAAAACCTATAAAAACAATTTGATGAACAGAACACTTATTTTCTTGTTATTTATAAATTTAGACGGTGAAGGAGATACTCGCATAAAAAAATACAAAACATATTATGAACACAACTGGTAATAAGCGAAATATCTTAATTAATTTTGTAATCATTTAGGTAGTGAATATTTAATCACCATTTTTGGATCCATACTTAGCAGCATTATACATCAATTGGAAGGTAGCTGACAGTTTACCTTTTAATCGTAGTATATTCAATATCTTGTCAAACTATGTTTAATGGTCAGTATCGCACTGCATTATAAACACGTAGGGAATGATTTATTTTGCACAAGTAGCTCATGTTGTGAGTCCACGGACTACGTCTGATCGGTTCTGAATCTAAAAATACATCACAAATTATGAATTCACTGAAATTTCAAACATTAGGAATAAATTAATAAAAAAAAAGTTTTATGTAATATAAAGTAAAAATAAAGCACTAATTAATAATAACTATATCAAATACATTTTTTTTTAAATAATTGTTATTAAATAAGTTAATATTTCTTTTTCGGTATAGTTTTATTAATATTTTAATTTATTTATTTATTTAAAAATGCTTAGTTTTATTTTGATATTGAATATAAATAATTCTAATATATTATAAATTGACGTTTTATCAATTTTATAAAGTTCCTTTTCATTATTCTATAATTAGATTTAGAAATATTTTGTATTTTATTTCTAAAGTAAATTAATTTAAAGAAATTTTTGTATGTATTAATTTAAACAATGAAAATATTTTTAACATAATTAAATCATCAACTTATATTTTAAAAAAGGTTACCCCATACGGGAACCAAAATCTCTAAAAGTAAATTTATAACTTACATATATACTTTTAAAATGTTTTAAATTACATTTAAATTTGAACTAATTTGTGGATATTTTATTGATAAGATTTTTAATAGTCAAAGAAGTTAATAATAAATTATAGAGTGGATTTCAATAAAAATGTAATTTATTTAATATAATTTAAAATGTTTTGTAATTTGTGGTTAAATAACATAATATTAAAAAGCATTAAATTATAAAATTTAATCATTTTTAAGACACTTTGATCATATAATTTTATATATTTATATAAATTATTATTAAATATCTCTTGTGGGTTCAGTTTAAATTCGTATATGTAAGTTTTCAACTCATATTTGAGGTTAGTGTTTTTTTTTTTTCGTACATTCTTCTTTACATTTGGACAGTGACTATATAATTTCCGAATTGCCTTTTTTATTTCAACTTTTAATATACTTTAGTTATTTACATATATTTGTCTTAAGCTAGAACCCATATAAATATTAATTATATGTTTGATATGTAAATTTTGATTTGTATTAAAATACAATTTATGTTAGTAGCATATTCAGCGAGGTTCCTGTATTTTACTAGCTTGCTATTTCAGTATTTGTTTAAGAAATTGTTAAAATTATTATTTAAATAAAAAGTACGGAAATACGAGTAATTTTCTAAATAATTGAACAGAGTTTCTTAATGAAACTAAATGTACTGTTAATAGTTTTATAAATATTATCAAAAATGTTCAAGAATTATATTGTTATATTGTTAAAATAAAGCCTTAAACTATGAGGGAAAAATATGAATATTGTTGAAAAATGAATAAGATTTTAATAAAAAATAATGAACTTTTGATTTTTCTGTCACTTCATCTGAAGATAATTTCGTATTATTTGCTGTCATAAATTTGCAGGTGATAAAAAATCTTCACATTTGAAATTTTTAAATATGATTCTGAATGAGGCTTAGTTTACTAGAATGATATTATACTATAATTTCATTTTTCAAATTGTATGCAGTTATTTCATTTTTCAAATTGTATGCAGTTATATGAAAAAATAAGTATTATTCCAATTCATTTAAATATTTTCTAAATTGTTTAAATTTAGTTGGAATATTGTATAATTAATGGTTTGTAAAATCAATTTAAGAAATCAAAATTTAAATATTTTACGAAGAAATATATTTGTTATATATATATATATCTATTTTATAAATAGAACGAAACTTACACATATATATTTTTTTTGTTTACTTTAAAAACGCTTAAAAACTCTTATTCACCATAAATTTTAATTCAGATGTAATATTTAAATATAATAATTTTTCAAACACTTGCAAAGTTCTGAAGCAAATTGACAAAAATATGTGAAACTATTGTAACTATTTTTTAGTTGGCAAGCTATTGTTATTTGTTAATATAATTTATTTATAGGATGCTAAAATCAATGAAAATAATTATTTTATAATATATATTCATTTAATACAATATCTCCATGTTGATGAAATTAACTATACTATATGAAAGTATAATATATTCTATGTACAAAATATAAATTCATGTAAAAATTCAGCCACATTATTTATTAGAAAAATTTCGAAATCACTTAGTACACTTAGTTTAAGCACTATTTAAAATGTGACTTCAACTATGTTACATATTGTATTGTGACCTAATATATTTAAAAAAATGTATATTAAATTCTCATCGCTTTGTAATTAATTTCCAAAAAATTTAAATGATTACTCTCGGCAAACGAATATGTACGCATTAAGTTTCTGAATTTAATTATTCCATCCATTAGGCATGATGAAAACTGTTTGCGTAAATATTTATAATTCTATAGTCATGAAAATAAATTAATTTATTTCTTACAACAACGTTATGGTCTTTAAATATCAAGGAAATAATAAAATATTAATCATAAATTGTAATATTTATGTCATCGTAACATACTAGCAGCCTGTAAAGAAGATTTAAAAATCAGTAGGGAAAAAACGAAGATAATGAAATGACTAAAGAATGAAGAGAATACGGACGATTATGATGAAGACGTATTTATTTAAAAAGTTAAAGAGTTTCAGTATTTAGGAGCCATGCTAAGTATCAAGAATGATTGGCAAAAAGAAGTTGGAATAAGAATAACAAAGGTCGAAAGGCTGCATTCGCACTTAGTAAGTTTTTTAAATAAAAATTATTTTCAAAGAAAACAAAGTCAAGGTTGTACATGAAAATAATAAGACCCACGCTAACCTATGAGTGCAAAACCTGGAAACCATTAGTAATACAGAAAGGAGTCTAAGGACTTTTGAGAATAAAGTGTGGAGAATTATTTGCGGTCCTGTCTATGATAACAAAACAGGTGCGTGGAGAAGAAAATTTAATTGGAAACTACAGGATGAGTTGAGACTGACACCAGTCAGTAGCTTCATAAGTGGCCAGCGAATACAATGGTTTGGTAACGTAATGCGCAGGAAGATACGGTTAGGGTGGTGTTGGAATAGAGGCCTACAGGGAAGAGGTCTCATGGACGGCTTAGAAAGTGATGGTTGGATACCAATTGAGAAGATCTCAATAAAATAGGATTACGAAAGTGGAGTTCATAACAGAGAAGAATGAAGGCAGATCGTAATGGCGGCAAAAACTCTTCGAGAGTAATAAATACCAGCAGCAGAAGAAGTAACACATATGAATCAACAAACCCCAAACAAATAAAACTAAAACTTCGAAAAAAAAATACAATAAGAAAATAAAAAATATTCGAATATGACGAAGTAATGTTTGTTTATTGTGTTTAATAAATTGAAATATTTTCTCAAATAAAATTATTATTTTTTTTTTTTTAATACAAATAACGTCAATTAATGTTCATTTTATTTCATAACAAATTTTGTAAAAATAAAGAAGTAGTTAAAAAAAAAATTAACATTTTTTAGTATTACTTATAATAAATATTCAAACGTAACAATGTTGTATTACTCGTTTACTATCGTAAAATTTGAATAAGCATTTTATTGTGAACCCAGTTTTGACAATGACTTTTATCTATTATTATACCTATCATTATAACATAAAAACTTCCATATAAAAAATTACTCAACAATAGAGCTTAAATTTTATAAAATGTCATTAAAAGTACATAATTTAATAGATCCCGGAGATTTTAATATTGTTAAACGGAACACACCCTAAATAATGTAGACAACATTTTAACAAAATGCTTGGTAGAATAATTAATTTGTAGCAAGGTTATATTATACTAAACTGTCAAATTATATTGCAAGTTAGATAAATATTTTTTATTTTTTGGTATCTTGGGAAGCATTTTAAGAAAATACTATTATGTTAAACATAAATGTTTTTAGTAAAATAGTTAACAATGTGTTTTCGTTGAAGTAGTATTAGATACTATATTGAATGTTTTATAATTTTAATTTTGATACCATCAAGATATTTTACTAAAATAAAAAAACTTATAAGTAAATGTTTCCATTCATTTTGTCAGAAGAAAGTTCTAAATTATTTTTAATCTGTTGAAAAAGTAATTTTCGTCTTCAATTTTTTATATTTTATTCATATTCCACATGAAATATTAATTTTTTTCAAATACAATAATACCCTTATTAAAAATATCGAGTACATCGTTGATAGGTTTATAATATTTATTATTATTCTCTAGTTTAAAAACTATTAAAAAAATGCTATACATATGTATATGTTGCACAATAGTTTATTGGTAATATTAAATACATCAAATAAATATCAAATACGTCATAGTGGTATACATAATTATGGGATCAGTACATTTGCCCAACAACCTCAAATTATATTATAAATAATAAATGTATCGAAAATTATTAAAAATTTTAATAAAATATTATATTATACCTATTATGTTATTTACAAATTAATATTAAATTTTAAAATCATGCAATTAATAACTGTGTAAAAAATTAATAATAATACAAACATTATACTACTTACAATTTAATTTTATAAGCGATTCTTATGAATCTATCGTGAATCACGGTAAAATACGATTGAGAACGTTATTTTTGGTAACACAATTGAGAACTTAATAATATAATATACTATACTATACTATACTTGATACTTATTACCTTTTCACATAGATTGATAATATTCATGATAAAATATTCATCTGATTTAGATTTTTTTTTAATTATTGTATATTCATATTGTATATTAATAAATAATAATAATAATACAATAATGAAATAGTAATAAAATATTGTATATCAGTATTACGTACAGTAAAAATATGTAAAATATACTGTCGGGCCTTGGACAAATGTTGTGTCGGGCAAACGTAATGTCGGGAAAATGTAGTGTCGGGCAAACGTATTGTCGAGCAAATGAAGTGTCGGGCAAACATATCAAACCTCATAATTATGTTGAACTTATCTTTATTCTTACATAGAAAAAATGTTTGTATAATAAAATCCATAATATTCTATATTCTGCGCACAACCCGGAGATTGAGTTCTTGGACTGACAAAAAAAAGGGGGACGAATCAAAATAAATGATCTTTATAAATATACTGTTTTACATGATTTCTTTTCTTGATCTATGACCACCAGACTCTGTAATTACTTGATGTTTTTCAGAAACTCCAACTTCGTAATCGATTTTAGAAGTCATGTCACGACTTCTTGGATGTTTTGAATAATAGCAAAACGTTTCTTCAGTATTACAGAAACGAGAAAAAAAATAAATAAATGAAAAGTGAACGGGCGTTGGTACTGAGATGTAAGCACCGTGGTTAGTGATGAAACATTGAAACTTGTTTGAATTCTAAAACCCTGAACCGAACTCAGCGTGTATATAGGTCTACTCCTTTGTTGTGGAGACAAGGAAATATCTAAATACCATTAAATAAATAGATTTGTTCACACTGTACTGCCTTCGGAGTTAAGTTCACGGTTATATTTATCGTTGTAATAAAAAATTATAAAAACAACGATTATTTTAACTTTTTATGTAACTATCACGAATTTTTCGACCGAACTTAGTGAATGTCTTACGCTCGAATAGTCAAAAATACATTCTACAATAGACACAATATAAACTATGTATGATCACCGTTATACTTTTCTGTACAGCTCATACGTTTCTATGGTAGTTTTTCAGTGGTCAACAAAGTAATTTCATCCCAGTAGTCCGTTAACTCCGGTAACTCCGTTGCTTCATAATTTAAATTTAACCGAGTATCTAAATAATAATTCCACGCAAAAACATGTGTACCTTTTGTTCAGGCCAAGTGCGTAAAGTCTTATTACGCTTAACATCGGACACCAAAATGCATATGTCCACCGAAAAGTAACTTAATGAATACTATGTGTATTTGTATGTTTATGTAGCTCAATCAGAGTGGTTGGAATTGCCTCGCAAATTTTTTGTGTGTATATATATTTCAACAAAAAAACTAATTGTTAATGTAATTTCGAAAAATAATTTAATAGCATAGTATAAGATGTCTTGTCAGCAATGCAATCATCAAAAATAGTAATAATAATTATAATAAAATAATACAAATTTTTTACTCACAATCCCACGGAGAGTAGATTGGCCACCCGCTGTTTAAATCTAAAATAATTCTAAGTTCACGTTTCAAGCAGACACTTAATGTTAACTAATTTTGTTTTAATAACTTGCATATGTTGGCACACAATGCAAACTTTTACAATAATAATAATACACGCGGTAGTGCAATAAAAAAAAAAAAAAAAAAACAATGATTAACAAATAAATGCGGTGATGCAATAAACAATACTAATAAATAAAAGCGGTGGTGTAAATGAAAAAACAATAATAATTATTGACAATGGGATGTGTTCACTGCTATACTACGAACGAGAAGAATAATTTTAACATGGGCGCTGGGCCTTATGATTATATTACATATACATTTAGAAAAAAGATAAACATTGCATAATTAAGAAATGTTTTTAATATTATTTTGAACATGTGCGTATGTGTGTGTGTGCATATATCCGATATCAGGCAGTGGTGGCACGTATGATTTTACCTGTTATCATTTCACACCTTTGGTTTTATTCATAGTTATATTCATTAATAGTTTTATATATATTCAATAGTTTTATTCATTTTATTCATGGTTTTATACATCGAATACAATATAATATATATGAGCTATAAAATAAATAGTTTAACTGCATTACTTTATTGCATGTAAATACTGTTTATGTTATTTTTATAAAAATATCAGACCCTAGAACTATATATACAGCTATCGTCTTATACATTTTCAATAAAAAACATTTAATCACATTTTGCTTCTTGAAATGATTAAATTTATTTTTGTTATCGCATTTCGGTACAAAAAAAATGTAACAAATATTCTTGGAATGTTAACATGGAACTTCTGTCAATCGCTTGCGGAATATTTTGTGTTTATCACATTTATTAAGTTTTATGTGAGTGATTATCGTTGTGCTGTAAGAACTACTTCAAACGTATTATTATCTATTTTTGTATTTTAACTATAAAAGTGATATTTAAAAATATTATACAAAATCCATTCATTTCCAATAACTTGTGTATACAATATGGAAAATAAGTCGTAAACAAAGTTTAAATACATCGTCAAAATCTCAAATTAAAATATGTAGGTATCTAACCTTGTACAAATTTTCAAAAATAAGAGAAGTTAAATTATTTCTTTTGTGTCACAGGATCATTATTAAAAAATGGTGATTTAAATCACCTTAGCGTAGAACTGACCACCCACAAACCTAATAGACCATTAACAACCAATATAATAGATAATAAAAAAGTAAAAAAAAAAAAAAAGTATTCAATAAATTAAGTATTTACAACGGAAATATAAGTACCTACATACGTGGATGAATATTTTCTCTGAACTACCGTGCCCTTGGCGAATTTTATTTTAGTGCTTATATTATAAACATAAAAAAAAAGTTAACTAAAACGCATCACTTTACTTTGCTACACCCTTGGCAACCACCTTTTTCGTCAATTTCTAGTTACGATACTCATGTTCTATAGTCATGATTAAAAAAAAAAAGAAAAAAATAAGTTATAAGCCAAATTAAACAATATAAATAATAAAATCTCTACTTAAATTTAAAAAAAAAAATAACTTTGAATATAAACAATGCCCAATTTTATTTTACATGACCTATAGTGTCTCTGACAATTTAATATTTTTTTCTGTTTAAATTTCTTTTGATTTTCTTACGCGTATCGCAATAAACGGGCATTTAAAATAAAAAAAATGGTAAAGTAAATTGTTTACATATATTGTTTAAATTTATTTATTTACATAGTGGGATACGAAAATGCGAGTCCACGTTATTATTATTGCTGTAACAATTAAATCATCAATTTCGAAAATGGCTCATATTTGAAAATTAAAATTTTTCAGAAAACTAAAAAAACTGATTTTCTTTTGAATTATTTTCTTTATTTTAGCAATCAACAATAATTCATTCATACATTCATCACAATAGAAAAGTAATATGAGCCCTCCTCGCTCATAAAATATCGATGTATTTGTGTGAAAAAGCCAAGGTCAGCAAACACCCACCTACCTAAAGTACCTAATCAGTGACACTGGATTTCTAAATAACTATAATTATTATTCATATCAAAATTCAATAAGTTAATAAAATAAAATTAAGTTGAAAAAATACAGGAATTAAAAATAATCACTAATTACCCACCTCGATCTGTAAACGAAAAATTTTGGTAGTCTTGTAAAACTTAAATATAGTTAAGAATTTATTAAATTTCAGTTTTAACGAAAGAATACTGTTGCAAATATGAGTACATTTTTAATTTTATGTATATTTATATTGGTACTTTGTGAGCCTCTTAAAATATATTTGATTTATTTTTTACAAATTGTTAATATGTTATAACATTTGGCACAATTTGGTAAAAATACAAAACAATTAAATCTACCGTAAATGAAATTAATAGCTTAGTACTTTTTATACTCAGATTTAAAAAAGGAAAAATTAATTCTTATATATTTATTTTTAATACATTTCCTTTTTAGTATTTTATTTATTTATTTAAATTAACACAATTATATTTGAAATCTTCATAAGGAATTAATCAAGTTCTATTAAATTTGAATCTAAAGTAAATCTTGACAATGACTTGGAAAACAAAGAATTAAATCATTCATTGAAATCATTCAAAAATCGTTTATTGAGTACGACCGATAGATAGCTTTAATATGATCAAAAACGTTTTATTGTTCTTGAAATTGATGTTTAGAATTGTTTCACTGTACATTCAATAAGATTAGGACTTAATACTTGATTGAATATTACACATTTAGTACAGAAAGAGGTTGGATTTAATTATCTAATGTTATGTAGTAATACCATATGTACACAGTGGATTGAAAATTCTAATTTTACCCGTAGGACTTTAGATTGCATGTTGTTTTTCAGATTTTTCAGTTTAAACTATACTGACTAGTGGCTAGAAGTGAAAACAAATTCAAATTGGTTTTTTGGATTTCTTCGACGACGTAACTTATTAACACACAGTGAATCGACAGGATGAGTAGGATTTAGAACTATTCGTTTAACTAAAGCATACGAGTACATGTACAATTTTCTAAATAATTAAAATTACTAGATTTTGCTTTTTGGTTTAAGAAGAAAATGTATAGATAACTAGACATATCTTTTTATCAATAACCTATAGCAGCGTTTCCCAAACTGTGGTCCGCACTTATACCAAAGGTGGTCAGTGAACGTAAATTAAAAATACACTAAGTGTTATTATTTATTATTGTTTTTAATTTGTATTTGTATTAAGGGATCCGCGATCACTTTTACTATCTCTGAGGGGTCCGACAGACAAAAAGTTTGGGAAACCTTGTCCTATAGCAATTAAAATAGTTCATTGAAACTGATAAAATGCAATGTTTATGTTATCAAATAAAAATATCTGAAGTATACAAATAATATGTGCTAAATAAAACCAGAATTGAAATGTTTGAAAATTGTTTAACTTAAACCCAATTAGAAATAACTCAATCAGTATCTTAGATAAATACTTATTGCATATAACCAAAAAGTTTCTAGCCCTAATAGTAAATTGTTAATGACTCATTTAGTTTAATAATTCACAATTCAGTTACATTGAGTATACATAGCTCATTTTATTTTTTTCGAATAAAGTAAGCGTCCTAATAGCTGGAACTTTATTTTACCCGTTATCTTTATTGAAATAATTCAACTAATAATACATTGATTTTAGTATATTAACAAAAAATAATTTATTAAACTTTATGAATCTTCAAGATTTTTTTTATTCATTTTATTATATATTCAAGTATTCTTCTGATTCTAAATTTCTCAACCAAGTGAGTACACTTTTCCTTTTTAAATTACATGCCAAGTTTTCCAATTTTAACACGCTCGCCTACTGTTACTAATTTCCTAACTATATACTATTATTCTTTGCCATTTAAGAATTATATTCCTAAAGTAAACTTGAGAAACTTTATAACTAAGAATTAATTTTTTTTTAGATGCTTGTTAAACATTGGTGAAAACATATATATTATTATTATTGTTAACCTTTCATTTATTTATAAAATAAAATAAATATAAATGTATAAATGTACAAACGGAGAAAGAAAGGGAAATTTAACAACAAACCACATTGTTTTTCTGAGAAAAATGTATTTTTAATGTTATACAAGAACCTAATAATTGCTTATGTATTATCAATATTATAGTCATTTCTATAATTTTGTATTATTAGCTCATTAAAGTATATTGACATTGACAGTGTCGGATTAAAGACTAATGCCATCCTGGAACAAAATATTTTTGCCCCCTTCCCCTGAAAAAAACAAGGTTTTAATGAGACAAAAAAAAAAATTACTGGTTTCTATGTATAAATAAAAAAAATAAAATACTAACTTCATTTCTTCAACCAAATCAGATTCTATGCATAAAATTGATAAATTAGAATTCTTTCTTGGATTAATGAAGATCTTAAATAATATTTTATACGTTTTAAAACAGAAAACGATCTTATACCATTTGCATTTGAAGAAGATAAAGTGCAAATAATTCTTAAAACGATTTCGATATTAGGAAATTATGCCTCTAAAGACGATGTTTTTAATGTTCTCAGTAGTGAAGTAAAAGTATTATTGACTTCTGACTGGAATGTTGAACAATATTTTTTGAATTGAATCAATTCTTCTACAAAATATATTTCTATGTCTGAATTGTACAATTTAACATTTAAGAAAAAAAAATAACTGAAAATCAAATCAGAGCAATGTAATAGAAAACACTATAAATGTCAATAACAGGTCTATCAGCAAAACATATAAAAATTACATCAGATTCGATTTAAAAGTTGCACACTTTATGGAATACCCTACATATATTTTTTTTCGAATCATAATTGAAAAAACACTTTTGTTTAAATAATTATTACACTTTATATTTATTAATTTTTTTATTTTTTGGCATTTTCATTTATGCCACCCCACTAAATTTGCCATCCTGAAGCAAATGCTCCTTTTGCACCTAATTTAATCCAGCCCTGAGTATAGAATATAATATAAAAATAATGATAATAGTAGAAATAAAATATGAAGTTGTCAATAAATTTTTAAATGTTAACTATACTATAAAATATCAAAATAATATATAATTTAGGCTGAGATTAAATTACAAAACCTAATTTGAATTATTTTATGCAAATATCATAGTATTACGACATAATTTACAGTGGACAACTGAACATTAACTTTTTAAATATTCAAAAGTAAAAAAATCTTGTATAAGTGTACTTTTTAATTCACATAAGTAACAAACACCAACAAAAAGTTATATAAAATATTATCACAGTAAATTTGAATTCATCAAATTCAAGAAATTATCTTTAAAATTTATGAATTATCTGGAAGATCATCATTTTAATATGATAATACTTATTATAATACTTGTCTCTCTCTTATATATATATATATATTACTATGAAAACTGTAAAAGTTAAATCTATGACAGTTATAATACACGTATTAGAACTCTTTTGAAATTGTAAAAATAATTTCTTTTTCTACGAGTAGGTACTTATTTAAATAAATCTAAAAAAATATTATATACTCGTATCATACATATTTTTTTTCTAAAAATTAAATTAACAGATTAAATCATTGACATTGGATAGTATTATATATTCCAATATATTAGCATATTGTGTATATAGTATATAATGTTGGATATTTTCTTACTTTACAGCTAACTTTTTATTTTTTATTTTTATTTTCTAATTTATTATAACTTTAAATAAATGATAATTTTATTTAATAAAACGTGTAATAAATACGTGTTATTTTTATATGTAGACACCAGACGGTCGTGGCAGTATTCATAAATAATATATAGAAAATATTGCTTAAACTTTATTTTATACTTATATCTTTCTTCTTTATTATTTCCTAAAAATACTTTTATCGTACTACAGTAATAATTTAAAAACTTATTATATTATACTATTTCAAATAAAAACTGTAAAACTTTAATATACCTAGGTACCTTTTTATTTTAAATCATAACCAATAGGCTTTTTATCCGAAAAAATAAATATAAATTATCATTTATCATACCTAGAATAAAAAATGAATAAATATTTAATCAACAGTTCAAAATTTCATTCGCGATATAATAGTTATTAAAAAAAAAATCATAATATACTTGTATCAGAATGTTGTATATAATCTAGAAATTAGACAATTATAATAATCTTGTTTGTATTTAAATATATTTTTTAAAAAAATATATTCGTATAGATAACTCAATATTAAATTGCTGCACAACCAATGATTGAAGAAAATCGAAATAAAAATGAATGGAAGTAAAAAATATAAGCAGCTTCGGAATTTTAAAATAAAAAGAATGAAGATATTTTTTTCCCTCATATTCATTAGTAATCAAAAATAAAAAAAGTTCTTAAATGTGTTAATAAAAAATTTAAAATCATAATGTATATAATGTACTTCATTATATTAATGAACGATAATTTGGGCAATAATAAGTTATGACTTATAATATTGTGATGATTTTAAAAAGAGAAATGTATTTACGATCAAAATAAATATATTTAATTATTTATAAATATTAATATATAATTTAATAATTAAGTGATCACATGATTTTGAAAAGAAAAACTTTATTTGTAACCTTAATTATAATTAAAAAATGCTCCACTCTTAATTCGAATAGTATTAGTAATCGAAATGCATACAATTGAGTTTATATTAATACAAATAAAGTTACAAATAAAGTTTTTCTGTTCAAAACCATGTGATCACTTAATTATTAAATTATATATTAATATTTATAAATAATTAAATATATTTATTTTGATCGTAAATATATTTCTCTTTTTAAAATCATCACAATATTATAAGTCATAACTCATTATCACCCAAATTATTGTTCTCAAAAAATGCATCTATTTAGGTAGGTATTTTATCATATTAACATTAAATTCTCTAATACATGAATGCGTTTTGTAATAATTACACTAAACATTAGAGGGAAAAATACTCATTTCACGTTATTTTTTTTATCAAGTTATCTATAAAAATGGCAATAGTTTGTGCAGGAAATGAAAGTTAGTTACCTTATTTCTTTATAGTTTCTTTGGTATAGTACATCATTCGAGATGAAGAAGTAGAATAATTAAGTGTCATGGTAATTGTTTTAATAATTTCAAACACAACTTTTTCCAAGATAATTATTTTCAAATTTAATAAACGTAAGATGAGACTGTAATATTGAAAATTTATAAAATAAAATGATTTGAAACTATTTTAATTAAGCGTAAACTATCCAACTATTCTCTATCGATAGTGTTCTACTTAAGCCAATAGATGACTGTAACTAAGTGCAAAGAAAATTTTTAACCGTTAATATATATATATATATATATATAAATTATTAGGCTAAATTTTAAAATTAATATATATTAAAAATATATTAACAACTAATATAACTATAACTAAACAATCAAATATTAAAATTATCATAATTTATCAAAAGTACTATTCTAACAGCTAATTTCTTAATAATATAATTTGAGTCGATCGTATTCAATAAATCTTTTTTTTTTTACATTCATCAACATAATGCTTATATCTATGTTGATAGATATTTATGACTATAAGCTATATTTTAAATAAATGTGAAATTTGCAAACATGTTTTAAACATATATGAGTTCATTAAAAACAAATACTTTTCTTTATAACTTAATTAACTTTACTTAGTGATTTATTGACTTAACATTAAGAAGATACAGAATTTTTTTGAAACTCAATTTTAACTTTTCATACATTCTTATTTTATTTTATTTATAATAATAAACTTATTTTCATCATAATTAATTTTTTATGCTTTTATTTATTTGCTTTTTTTGATTATCTGATTTTTTTATATAATACATTTCTAATACTCACAGTTAATAATCATGAATATAAAATGTATAAATATAATAAACAAACAGCAGTTTATTTTTTCATAGCTTGTAGTATGTAGAAAAAATATACCTAAAATCAACAATAATTAATAAAGCCAAGTAAAAAAACACACAGTTCTACAGAAATCATTTTATCGGTTGAACTCTAAGACAATAAAAAAATTAATAAGTACATTTCTCAATGACAGCCAGAATTTATCTATATTATTAATTATCATCTAATTTTTATCTAAAAAATTTTAAAAATGAATAACTTAACATTGATTTTAAATAAAAAAGAAAAAAATATATTGATTTATGAATATATAATGATACGCAATCGTATTGATAAAATTGATTGCAATTAGATATCACAGGTTTTCAGCAATAGAAAAAAAATGTTCACTTTCAATTACTAAAAAACTGTTTTTATCAAGTTCAATTCAAATAACGTCTAATGGTTGCATCCATGTAGATACTAACCAATCTTACCATAACAATAGGCTGGCGTATCAATACATAAAAAAACCAATGAATAATAATTAAAATAATTTAAGAATTTATCGTCCCACTATTGACTTCATTAGTTGAATTATTGTAAGTGCATTAATGTTTAAATATTTAAAATATAATGCATGGAAATTATTAATAAATTAAAAAATACGTTATGATTTATAATTATCTAATACAATTAAAGTCTAGACGCATTTATACTATGTAAAGAACGTAGGTTAGTAAATATTTATAATATGCTTATAAATAAAATGAAAATAGTTCAACTGGTGAATATAAATCATACGTTCCACCAACAAAATTGGGCCAATGTGAAGCAGGACTATAGTTAAGACATAGAAATGAACTTTGGAATAGATTATCTATAACCATATCTTGAATATTTAATTATTATCATCCTACATACATTTTAAAACCACCCTTTGAACACACAGAAAAAAAATTTATAAGTGTTTACAAATGAAATTAAAAGGTAACCTAGAACTCATAACTTATATAAATATATTTCATTTTATCAAAACCATACACTTTTTAAATTTAAAAGTTTCATATTACATAGTAGAATTTATCTCGGAAAACTTTTTACCCGATTTTATTTTTATGACGCTCAAGTATGACGTTTTGCTTTCATATCTTAGAAGTTACAACTCTTACATTATCAGTTATATTTAAATGCTTAAGTCCCTACACTAATATATTAGCTTCATCGTAGTTCGTCTATTGTATGTTGTAAAATCAAAATATTTTATAAACCCTTTTATTTATTCAAAAAAAATATTAGTATTGATACTGAATATTAAAAATTTGATTTAAATGTTGAGGTCATATTGAAAAAAAATACATATTAAAAAGATTGTATTTTAATGATTAACTTTTTTTATATACTTTAATCGTTTATTTTCAAAACAATACATACATTTAAATGTAATAAATGTCTTTAAATCTTTAATAAAAAAAAATAAATAAATAAATGTAGTAGAGTTTTTAATAAAAAATCGAACGCAATCAATTCGTAAAACAAGATTAAATAGTCCCATTATAAAGTATTATTTGGATAAACATTTCAAAGGATCTATTGCATTTGACAAGTTTATTTTTTTATTTTAACGAAAACTGAACAATACATATTATTCTAAATAGGACTAGGATATATGTACAATAAAAAATGGTATGATATGCATTTAGTTTATTAAAAATATGCAAAAATATGCAATGAATATTATTATGCCAAAAAATATGAAAATATACTTATAAAAAATAAGAACACATTTTATAATTAATAAAATAGTGTTCTAGACTATTAATGTTATTCATATGTGTTACACAAAACAATTTCATTATGTTTTAAATTTTAAAAATTAAACGGTATTCTGTTAGATCTTTATTTGTTCTTATATTTACATCATATAATGTAATTTTCACTTATTTAAATGTAGTAACTTTCATATTACTTATAATATACATATATTTTAGTTTTCTATTTTTTTTCTAACACATTTTTTAATTTTTTTTTTTAACCTTTTCAGCAACTGTTTCTTTGTTTTGGCCAAGTTTGGATTTGGTGTTTTCAACAATCGCAAACTATCATCGAGTGAAAGTGAAGAATTTTCTAATCTTAAAATAGATTGAGTGATAAAGCCTAAGTTACTTTTCATATAAGCTAAATCGTTTTTAATACTTCCATTTTCAAATAAAACTGTAGCATTTTTATTCGACTTTGCAATATTATTGTTTAAAGAAAAAAATCATCGATTTGATAAAATAAAAATTATCAGCATAATTTTATGTATCATCCAGTCAAGTTCCCCGTCCCATAAGTATAAGTTAGGAAGGCAAGTTTAATTCTGAAATAGTTTTCGAAATTTCATCACACGACATGGAACTTTTGGATCATGAAAATATTTTTTTTTCACAACTTACGTTGTCAATGTTCGGATACTCAAGTTTTATCGTCTTACTAACTCTGTTTATTTCATGATACACATGATAAAATTTCATATAACAAAAAATAAAGACTTGCATTTTTCACGTTGTTATAGTCAAATTATACGATAATATTAATTGTATTCAAAATATGCATTTTGTCACAAAATATGCTAAAATATGCAAAATAAAAAACACCACCATTTACCTTATTGTGAGGGTGATTCGTGGACATTATTTACAAAAACATTAATTAGAAGTTACACAAAAAATATACTGTGACATATAAATCCTAGCCTAATTATAATTATTGTTTATTTTTTTAATGTTAACAATGAATTATTCAAATGTATTAACCTAACGAGTTATACTGAAAAGTAATTTTTATTCCGTCAAATTGTTGAGTAATATTAAAATAATTGCGAAGAAATAAACATAATGTAATTGTACCATTTTATAATATAGATCATGTTAATTTATTGGTTTTATCATCAATTTCAATATTTTATAAACATTTATAAAATAAATATTTATTTTTTGTTTTTATAGATGGACCTGATGAAAGTCAGCGTCGTATTATACATCTCATTAATTTTAATGCTTAATAAGTATTCGGATTGTACGACACATCCTCGGGTCAAAATGTATGGGCCTAAGGTAACAGTTGTTGATCGCCGGAAACCCGAAACGAAAATTGGATCTGATGTCAATGATGAAGTAAAAATTATTTCCCAACCAGAACACTATTTGGATGAACCTAGTTGTCTCGAATTGCGTATAATGTGGCGTACTTCACAACGGCAGAATCAATTGACGCAATCAGCTAATAGTATACCGATGGCTTTTGATCCATTTGCATTTAGTGCATGGGAGGATTATATTAAACCGAGGTACATAAACAGGCAAAAATCAATGATGTTCGAACGAGCAATACCAGACAGGTAATATTGTTATTTGCTTAGATAAATTCTATTTCCAAAACTAACAGATGAATTATACTATAATCGTTGACTGGAACTGAAAACAATAACTAAATATATACGGGGTGCATTGAAATGACCTAGATTTTTTGTTCGATTATCACTATAGTGATTTTCAATTTCCAAAACTCAAATTATCATAATAACCATCAAATATATAGTTGTTTCATACTCCAAACCCATTGTATAAGAGTTTATTACTTCTATCGTACATAAATATAATTGGCATAAATAGATATAAGATAGTAGCAATTTTGTTATTTCTACACTAACATAAATAATGTTATTTTTAAATTTGTATAAAATAAGTAAAGTTTACAAAAATATGTTTTTTAAATATTTAATAAAATAAGATATCATTTTAATAATCACCATTACGTATTCAATTTGAGCATTAAATTTAATTATTATGAACTTTTTATTCTTAAAAATTAATCGGAATTTGAGTTTAACTTTAACTATATATTTATTTATAAACACACTAATTTTAACTGTTAAAACGATAAATATAAATTTTAATTAAAAAAGCACAAGTAGACATTTTATATGTATACATGTATATACATACATATTTGCTAATAAATTATACAAAATTACTATTATTAATGATAAAAATTCTTACTTGATTAATGAAACAATATCTGGTATTAAAATTTCAATTATAAATGTATCAATGTAACATTAAAATAAAAGCTATAATACCTATTATTTAATAAGTTTCAACAAGAATATATTAAAAGATAAAAAAAATATTATATTATATAAAGATAAGTTATTCATACCATTTAATAGAACATAAAGTGTCACCTAATAATAGCTTTATTACGCAAATAATTTCATTATAAAGAAATAAACAAATTATTTATACATAGAAATAAATAAATAATTAAAAACTTCCCCATCTTCTTCAGCTTTTGCAGTTTTTAAAGGACTGTCACTGTCTCTACTATATTTTTCAATCTGACTCTGTCGATGCTATTCTCTATCATTATTCCCTATAAGCACTTATTTAGATCATCGTTGACTTTACCAATTCAGCGTTATCTAGGCTGACTTTTAAGTTATCTAGGTCTCTTCTCGTATATTTTTCTTCAAATACTTCCTTTATTATTCCATTTGACCTTCATACTTGGCCTGCTAACTCGATTCTTTTAATCGTTAGATATGCATTAATTCCAGGTTTTTGATAATCCTAACGATAAAATGTACAGTATTTTACAAACGTTGATTTTATGCATATAAAATATTTAAATAATAGCTGCAGCTATAGGTATTAGAGGAAAATGCGACGAACTTCCATCCACTTATCAATTGGGCATACTAAACTTTGAACCATTTATTGTAATCACATTGTTGCAAAACTTCCTTGCAACAGACAATCGTAAGGAATATCAATTTGTTTGCCATGCGAAAATGTTGATAGTGAAACGTAAGAGTTATCCTCTGGTATAACAGTACTATACGGTACTTGAATGTATTGAAAAACCGTGGTTTTGTAGGTTTTTGCTATTGTATCGATAAATAGAAGTTTCGCTGAACAAAATTCAACTATATATTTGAATTGATATTGCTTCAGTATTTGAAGTCGGTTAAATATTTATCATTTGGTAAACAATTTTGAATAATACAAAACATATAATTAACACTAGATTTATTTAATATACCTAATATTTAGAACACAAGAATATCATATCTATATTACAATGGTTTGATAGAACTAGTATACATTTGACAAATATTATGTTCACAGAATACATTCTAAACTAAAGTAAAAACTATGGGTAAAAATTGCAAAAATTATAGAATTATAAAAGATCGAATGTTGATAGTATACTCGTAACGTAAATGCATTTTAAATATTAACCGCTTATGGATTTCCAAAACTATAACCATTATTGTTAGAAATTATAATTTTCATTTGTCCTTCGTTCATTTTATACATTTTTAATTTATGTCGAAATAAAATCATACCTTCCCCGTGTCATTCTCATATTTGACACGATTTACAATTAAATCTGACAGTGAAATTTTTTTTTATTTTTATTTTTTTTTTTTATTGTAAAAGTGAATATAGTAAAATTGATTGACAATCATATATAAAACTGACAAATTTATTAAAATATATATAAATAATTCTTATAATACCTACTATATTTTTCATATAGTAACCAAGTGAAAAAAGGATAACGTGATAAATAATTACAACAATTATTAAAATTGTGTACAATTAGTCATTAATAATAAATAATAAATCATTGGAATGTTATTGTTAAGTATTCATTTGTTATTAATTTTCAGATATCATATCTACAGACAACTTAGACCCTTTGAAAAAATCGCTCGTTTAACCACTACCACAAGAGCTATTTTAGACGATCAATTAACCAGAAAAGCAAATTTATTTCGTTTGGGTTATCCTTTAGCAAAAATACCCTTGATATCCATGCGTTTGACGGCCAAAGATAGATTCCAAGAACTAAAACAACTCATGCGCCATGAAAAATCAAAAGACTATCAAAATGGTGGTGACGAAAATGAAACATTTTCCGTTGTTCCGATCACTACAATTACTTCCAATGAAACTGGTAAAAAACGACCGGGATATGAAACATTAATGTCACGACCTAGACATTTTTCACAAGGGCACTATATGAACATGAAACCAAACATTGAAGAAATCGAAGATAATTTGACTCCAACAGTTTTACCACAAGTATTGTCTTTTGATAATAATTAATATTAATAAGCACGACGCGTTTCGCATACACTTTTATCGTTTACCATATACTACACTTATAATAATACACTATATTTGACTTTAGGACAACCTTTTTTTACAACAGGCTAACGAATTTAGCAATTAATTTTTATTATATTTAATATAGCTACTGGACTTCATCGAAAAGACTCGTATGGAGTTATAGGGTTATTAAAATACAAGAAAAATTAAAAATAATATATATATATATATATATATATATATATATCAAAATACAAAAAAAATAATTTAATTAAATGACAATCAATTTATCAATAATAATGTGAAAACTATACAAAAATTGATAAATAACTATAGTAAAATTGTTTAAATGTATTTATGTATCATATACAGAATATGTAGATATTATACTTTAGTGTTTCCATAAATTATAATAGTTCGGACAAAGATTTCATTGGTTAGAAATTATTTATTATAATTTACAATATCTAGCTATTAATATAATGTTACGGGTTAATGGATTTTAAAACAATACATAAAGTTTTAATTGTAATTTCCTATATACTTGGTCAGTCAATCTTATATGCATTTAATTAAATATACCTACATATCAATCTCTAAATATTTTACTACGGTGAATGATGAACGACATTCTTCTCGACAATAAAATAATATATTTTGTGTTAAATTTTAACGCATGTAGTACTATTTAGTAATTAATTTGTTGTTTTACTTTTAACAACTATGCAGTTGATTAGAAGAAATTACTAATGTTGTTTGAAAAATATACAAACTGTATTCCTTAAATTATTTTTTTTTTAAATGACATTTCATCAAAATAAGTTTTTTTATTAAATTTCTAAAAAACCAAAGATTTTTTTTGGTCATAATAATAATAATATTTTTTAATTCCATAGATGTATAAAATTAAATTAAAATATTGATTTTTATTTACTTTAGTAAAGTTTTAATTTAGTTTAATTAAATATCTTATTATTTATTTATCACATCTTCGTTAACAAAAAAAAAATTACAAAAGGTAACATTACTTATGAAATTATTATAATGTTATAACTGCTATTACAAGTACCCATAATAATATTTTATTATTAAAAAGTCTGAGAATTTCCCATTTTTGACAAAAAATAACATAATGAACATCAACACCTGACATAAATAAATTGTTGGCATAATATCACACATATCAGAAATAAATTATTCATATTTATTTTTACATATTACTTTTTTGGTTTGATAGAATTTCACATAACTGTTTCTTTTTCAATTGAATAAATAAATCTCGATATGTTTACTGTGTACGCTATTAAATAATGTTAATAATACAAATTACATTTAAATATTTATATTATAAACCCAATATATTTAATAATAGTTCATACTTACATTTTAATAAAAATATATATATTCACAGCAAAATCATTTATTTACATAATCATGACCACACTTGTATTTAGCACTGAATCTCATATTAATTTAAGCATTAATTAAGCCATTTAAAACTCATCATTTCAACATATTGGCTTTTGACATACATGAATGATTTCACCTTCTGAAATATACACAAAACCGCACATTATAAATACCTACATTAGTTAATACATAAACATATACATTACAATACACGGTTATGAAAAACAAAATATTTAGTTTCAAATGTATAAAAAAATATCTATTTATTTCATATGAAAATAGTATTAATCAAAGAAATCATATAACCAAAAAAACAAAAAAATTACAATGTTTTGCCGCAATTTAAAACTTTTATTATTTTTCCCAATATAGTTAGTACTACTTTAAACATGATCATATTAAGGACTTTTTAATACTAAGACAGGTCATGAGCATGACCTTGTTCGAATAAAATTTAATATAAACAGCATTATATCCATCACTTTTGAGTAAGCCAGGCAGATATTATAAATTAATTCGTCTGGATTGTTTTATTTAAACATGTATTCTAGGAGGTTACGTAACATACATATTTTGTCAACGTTAAGCTAACAATATAAAAAAAAAAATTTTTGTCAGTGTGATTATTAATTATTAGTATTTAAGACTATAAATTTTATTTAAGAATATACATTGACAAAAAAAAAATCTATTTATACCTATGTTAGTTGAGATTATATTGTATTTAAACTAAAAAAATCCAACTGTACTAAAAATGATTTATTGATTCCTCTAGTTTTGTCCATATTTTATTATTTTTTTTTTCCATTTATGAATGATAGAACATTTTGTTATCATCCAAAATTTATTTAATAAACCCAATTTAAGATAGGGTTCTCAGTTTTATTCTTTAAAAATACGGGACATTTTAAATCATACCTATACTTATAATTTACATTGGTGTTAATTTGGGAAGGGGTGATGGGACTTATGTTGGCAATTAACATATCAAAAAAATGAAATATATAATGTTTGTTATACAAATTCTTTGATAACACTTGATAGTTAAAACTACATTTGGCCTCGATATAACATGTAATTTTCCTCGCAGATACTAAATATAATATAAAATAAAGTTAAACAGAATATTTGATACTTGAAACAAATATAAATTATAATGTAAATTAAAAATAAATAATTAATTGACTTTCCAATGATAAATTTATAGCAGAAATATTATATAAAAATTTAAATAATGTAAAAATAATTAGTTTTACTTACTTTTATACATTATTGATTATCTGCATATTTTTGACTAGAATGAATTCCTTTTTGTAGTTTTTCATTTTCTGAAAAAAGTTTTGATGAAGTTTAAATTAATGATAAATACCTACGCTCCACAGTAGTCAATGATAAATTATAATACTAAATATTTCATATTTCATGATTTTACACCGACAGTCATCAAAATGAATAAGGATATTCTTATCTATCTCGATGCCGAAAGTCGACCCTTTTATAGCCGTTATAATATCAGTATAACCCCAAAATCAACATAAAAATCATAAGAGATAATTTTCATTTGTTTCTCAGATTTTTTTTTATAATAAAATATTATTAACTGTTGTTTGATTTAGGTATTATAGTTTATTAATAGTTTAAAATTTAAAAAGCTAAATTATGTGAAAACTTTTCATTTTTAAAATAAGGGTACATATGAGACGGACTATCCAAAACTTGTGTCGAGACATCGGGACACTTCATTCTAATACGGGACACTCTCGTAAAATACGAGTCGTATGGGATCCCTAATTTAAAGGATAAATATCAAGTTGAATTTATCTTTATTTAAGCATTAAGTACGACTAGCTGTAGAATACTTATTTTAATTGATTACATTTTCAAGTTTAATATCTTAGACTTTATATTCAAAATTATACTTTCCATAATATCCAACAAAAATAATTTAATGCGTTTCCTTAATTAATGTGTATCATAATTATAGTTTGTTTCACATTTTCAGTATAAATCTTCACCGCTTATCAATTCATGGAATTCTAGATGGTAAATGTCATAAAGACAATATTGCGTCGACAGTGAAGCCCTGAATATATACTTACAAAATTATGAACATATTCAATAAGAATTCTACCCATTCATAGAAACTTACCATTTGTCTTCCTCCCAGCAATGAATTACCTAATTTGTTACGTTTATTCGTGTGTTTAAATAAAACAAAATGAAAGTAAGTAAAGTAATTTTTTATTTTATGATAGACGTTTATAGATTACTTTTAACTTAAAATTATTATACATTTTTAATTTAAGCATAAATTATTTGTTACTTTGAATGCCTGTTAAATCAACGTTAATTTTAATTGGATAAATGTATTAAATAATATATAATAACATTTTGATTAAGAATCCAAGGAAATTTAAATGAATTACAAAATAATTATGAACTTACATACGACTAAACTCTAAGTTTATAAATTAATGTATAAAATATTTTAATTAATTAGTTAAGCCACTTAGGTTATTTTATTTAGGGGTGATAATTGTTTCAATTAAATTACAAAAAAGTATGTAGATTTTGCCGCACTAATCAAATTTAACTGTGTCAATTACATTTTAAAACGAAATGTTTAATTATAAGTGAAATATAAGGTAAAACTGAAGACTTTAGAAAACACAAATTCACAAATTTAGATTCGTATGAAATAATAACAATAGTATATAATATAAATAACTACTTTATTATTCATTGATATAAAATTTAAAATAATATCTGGCTAGTCCAATTTTCTATTCCAAACTTATGAAGTGGCATTAGTTCCCTAAATCAATAAGTGTCTTGGATGCACTAAACTGGATAGAGTTGACTTGCGATAATCTAAAACATGAATGTGTGCGAAATTGTTTTCGTAAAGCCGGGTTAGGTTATATTTCATTAGTTTAATATACAATTGCTCAAATGAGATAAAAATAATAATAATAATACATATAAAAAAAATATACTGCATGGATAAACTATAAATTTATAATTTTTTATGTACGACATACGAGTATATAAATAGTACTTCAATAACTTCATTATATTAGTAGAAGAAAAAAATAAAATGCTCTTGAGTTTCTCTAATAATTACAAAAATACTAATTATTAGTAATTATATTAGTAATAAATTATAGATATTATATTAGTAATACTAAATATTAGTATTATTTTTATCATATATTAATATTATAATTAAATATAGGTATAATATTTATGTAAAAATAAATTTAGTATTATAGATAAATGCGGTTTGTGAATGTATTATTTTTTAATTACTTTTATTTGTAATACTTATTATTACCTTTTTAAAGGCTATGAACCTTGTCTTTTCAGATGAGGTGCCTTAAACATAAAGACATAAAAGTGAGACTGAATTCCTGAAAATGGAAATTCAGATTTTAGATTAAATTAACACGTATGAATATAAAGTAAAATTAAGAAAAACTCTTAGATTTATAGTATTACTGTAATATTTGGAATTAAGTTTCTTTTTTAGTTGATAAATAATCTTATTAATCTCAATTAATACTTCCATTGACTATATAATATATTATACATAAAAAATTAAATATATGTTTGAAAATTAAGTATTAATATGAACTATAAATATTATACAACTACATGAATATAATTAAAATATTTATTAAGATTTTACCCACCACTGACAATATAATAAAATAATAAAAATTAAATTTAAATTCATTTTTAATTGAAAATCGGTTGTACATTACAAATATATTAATACTCCAAGCTAAATATTTATTTGTTTAAATCTATATACAAACCGTTTGTTTATTTATTTATACATCATTAATATAAATGGTACATTAAATTATGTCGTAAAACTAAAATTAAATTTAACCGTAAGAAACTCATAAGTTCTTTTTTTTAAAAAAAAAAACAATTTTATCTCAATAATATTAATTGGAATTTAATAATAATGTATGCGTTACTTATTTTATTTAAAAACAATCTTAATTGATTTTCGCGTAAACAATTATAATAATATATTAAATTCCGTCTATATTCTAAAATAAATAATAAAGATACTGACGATACTACAGAATAAGTAAGCATATAAATCTTGAATTCTTGATGGCGTAGAATTTTATCGAAATAATTATTTATAAAAAGAATAATTTATTAAATTTAACTATTTTTTCTCATATTAATGCACCCTTATATTAAAAGGATTTATATATAGGTAAAACAAAATATAAAGTTAAATAACCAGAAAACTATTGAAAATTAAAATAGAAATATGTAAATTTCATCATGTATCTTAAAAACAATACAATTCCCATTATTTTTCATTAAATAAATAAAGATCTAAAATCAATATAAATAGTTACTAACAAATAGTGTATTTATAAAGTAAAATTCAATATTATTATCACATTCCTATTAAATTTAGATAATTTAACTTCATAACTTTCAATAGAGCATTTCTAGAAAAATGTATATATCAAACATACATTATATCATTGAGAAATATAATTTAATGCAAATGATTTCAATTTAAATGTATTAACATATTTTTGACAATCGTTATAAAGATGTGATTAATGATTACTTTTTTACCTATCATCTCAACCAAAAAGCTGAATGATATTGTAGGTTGTTGGCTTTTGAAGCATATTATTTTTCTAGAGTAAAATTAAATTCGATATAAATAACCTTAGGCAACAACATCGTTCACATGTTTAATTATAATAAGAGGTATATACCTTACAATTCCATACATAAATCAATAATTACATATGTATATTATAATCTTGTATGAAATAAAATATATACATTTTTAAGATCCCTACTGTTTATTTACAACTAATTCTTCATACTCAAACTTTTCGTTATCATATTATCTATGAAACCATTATATTATTCCACTTGCAATAATATAAAATTTGCAACTTGAAATATTTTATTTCTTAAGCTTTCATTAACTAAATTCTATCATGCAACCACCACTATACGAATAAGTTCAACAGTTAATAAAATTATTTACTATTACATAAATTATAAATTTGTTAATAGAATATGTTCTTATTTATTTTATGCAATGTATAATTTGATTTATAATTTAAGATAACAAGATATCTTACTTGGTAGAATCGTATACATTTTTCTACATAATTATACTCATTTATTTATTGTTATTAAGAACTAAATACGTTCTTATTAAATTTTTAATAACCTATATCTACTTACTTTTAATCTTAAAGTTTAATATACCTAATCGTATTATAGAATTAAAAGTTAATTTATAAATATATTAAGAAATTTTAAAAAATTATATACAATTTAAAAATAAATAATCAAACATAATGTAAACAATGTATATTTGTGATTATTTAATCACAAATATATATTGTTTCCATTCTTAAAAGTAATACTTGACAGAATTAGGTCGACTGTACTTCCACGTTTAATATAACAATTAAATTAAATTGAGTACATTTTGAAGCATAAAACGATAGTTTAAATAAATAAAAATTCATTTCAGAGTTCGGAAATCGATTACTGAAATATACACGTATTTATTAAATCATACGATTGATTTTAACAGGCATTTAAAATAATAATAATTTAAAACTATTAATTGTACAGTTAAGTTGAATACATATAGTATTTCCATGACAATAAAAATATTTAAATAAATATGAATTTATTTTATGTAATGTATTTGTAGTGGTGATATATATAACTATAATATTATACAATATGAAATTTAATGACAATAATTAAAAGTGAGATTTGCTTGTAACCGTAGTTAAATAATTGTTAACATTAAAATTTTTTTCAATTGAAATTTATGTTAAAAATTTTAATTACATTTTTATTATACGTAAAATGATAAAACTCTGATGTTAAGTTATTTTTGATGATATATTATTATAATGTTACAAGTATAAATTATTTTATGTTGTATGCATTTTATATAACATAAGAAAATCTAATTATATTTGATTTTGTGAACTATACTATAAATTTTAGCGTTAAGACTTTACGTATACATAAATTGACAATAAATTTATCAAACTTCGTAATATGTATGTTTAGGTGTATTAGAATATTTAATATTTGAAACGTGACAATAATACAATTTTCAAAAAATGAATTTGAAAGTATTAACTATAATATAATAATTTATTAATAATTTTAAGTTTATTAAAAATTTGTTGGTTATTGGTGTTTTAGCTATTAATTATTTTCAATAAATTACTTTTAATGGTTATTTTAGGTAGTTTCGATGATAAAATCTACATTATTATTATGTTATTTTTTATTTTTTATAAGTAAATTATTTTTTCTAACTATATTCTTTCAATTATTTTATATTTAAAGTGAATTTAAATTGTTTTGTTCACTTTTTAGTTTAACCAATTGTTCATACTTCATACAAATTTAAATGTATCAAATTCTGGAATTCTAAGCTGCTTTACAAACCTACTATTAAAAATTATGTATACGAGTTATGCACCTAGGTGTTGTATCCATTGTAATTTAAAAAAACTTTGAATTGCTTTTAATACTGTCAAATGATCATTAAACATTTATATTATTCGAATATCAAATTTTAAACCCTCATAATAGACATAGTTACCAATATGATCGTAATAATTACACAGAATTATTAAATTTTATTTTTTAGAAACATGATTTTTATTTTCTTATTATTTTAAAAAAAAATTTCGATTTGAAAAGGAACAAAGTTAAGCTCTTAGCCCAATCGAAAACAACATCAACAAAGCCATTATATTTTTAAAATGTACCATTTATATATAGCTACCATTTATTTTGTTGTAAGCTAGTAGATGATGCTGTACTAATAATAAAAAAAAAATAATTGAAATACACATAATTAATGAATCATAAATTAAAATCACACGTATCCGTAACTTGATATATTATTAAATTAAAGGCATATTTTTAAAATAATTAAAAATCAATTTATATAATTTTCACTAAGATTAAAAGTAACTTGATTTAGTTGTTTCATTATTATCCAATGATTCATAAACCCATGCAAATTTCAAGTGAGTGATATGTTGTCA